TTCCCTTTGCAGGGAAGCTGTCAATGAGCAGTCTGAGGGTGTTCTTGCTCACATGCAATGATTGACGTCAGTGGAGATGCTAATGCTGCAGGAGATGAGATCATTTTCTGCCTCACTGTGGGTGCATGTGTGAAAGCGCTAGAAAAGGTCCAGAGAGGGTGTGTGTGTGTGTGTGTGTGTGTGTGTATGTCCCTGTGTCTGTTCAGAATAATGTGTGTGTGTGTGTCTGTCTCTGTGTGTGTGTGTCTGTGTCCCTGTGTGTGTGTCCGGCCTGTTCACAGTCGCAGTGTGACTCTTAAACGCAGCGTTCAGCCGTCTCTCCGTGCGGCCTGGCTGCTGGGGGAGAACAGCCGCTAAGCTCGGCTCGAGTTGCGGCTATCAGCGAAGGAGGCGCCGGAGCTCGGGCAGCGCTTCAGCACAGAGAGCACGAGCACAGGTGAGCTGTCACACAGCCAGCCTGCTGCCTCTGCTCATCAGCTTCATTGTTATTCTGAGCTCCTGACATGCTTTGGTGCAGTGTGGACACACGGGCATCACTGTGGAGACACTGTACCCACAGTTTACCTTCAGGGGGGAGCTGTGCTCACGAGCATGACACATTCACGGTAACGAGTCCGTGTTACCGTCCTTAGACAGCTGAGCGTTTCCTCTTACTTCTGTCAAGAATCTGTTTCATTCTTGAGGAAACGCTGCTCCAGTTAAAAGAAGTTTCCTGCAGATGTTCATGTCTCAGCCTGATGACTTCCCTGTGGTGGAAGCCCCAACCCTGGTGCTCCGTTTGAAGCAGCATTTTCCTTCAGAACTCACAGATGCCTTCAAACACACAAGGAAAGGCGAGCAGCGCCTAAACGCTGCAACAGTGAAGACAACACTAATAACACTACAGTAATGTGTCCTCGTCGTGTGGGGTTAGGCTGCTGTTGGTTCTTGATGGAGATGTTCTCCACTTAAAGCAATGCAGGGTGTAGCATCTAGTCCTTTTACTGAATCAGACTGTTTCTACAATGTGTGCTTTGCCTGTTTCTGAATCTCTTTTTAACGCATATATTTGTGTTTGTGAAGCACTTTGTAACTCTGGGTTTTGTCACACAAACAGCTGTCAGTATTTATTAGAAGTTACTGTAGAGTGACCTGTACAGAGGGTCTCTGCCTCTCAGCCTGTAACAGCTCAATGAATAAGTGGAGGATGATGGTAGATGGATGGGTGGATGTTGGGTGGATGTGTTGTGAGATGATGTCCAGGCAGGAGCAGCGGGAGACTTTCAGCACAGGGTAAACATGATAATCTGCTCGCTCCATGTGTCTCACGGCTGTGTTCGAGCAGCTGCTACTAGAACAAAACCAGATTCTGTTTAATGCAAGAGGACGGCGATAAAGTTGCTGCTCGCTCTGCTGTGTTTGTGCTGCAAACCTTAAAGCTGTTCTGCATCGTTGTGCGTCGTATCCAGGGGTCGGATGGCCTGTCGTAGACTCACAGAGCGGTTCCTTCTTATTTAGAAGGATCTTCTCGCTTTACCTTCTGACTTGCACTCATCAGAAAAGTGCAGGAGGTTATTTCGCCCGTCCCAGGACTCCAGCTGCTGTCCCCAAAGTTCCCCCTGAGTTTGTAGGAGTGTGCTCTCACCGAGTGACCGAATGAGCTTAAGGTGATGTTCGGTGAGCTGTTATTGTCTGTAATCTCGAGCAGAGCGCGTCCTCGCTGACAGGCCATTCGACGTGTCGGACATCGCAGCCGTGATAAAATCTCGTACGGCCGTCACTATCGGCTCCGTCTGGAGAAGAAGCTCTTTTTTTTAACCAGGAAGCTGAAGTTTAAGTTGATGTCAAATCATGAGGATAAATTCTGTACATTAAGCCTCTTTGTTTGAAAGCTCGTGCCAAGGTGAGATGACCCTGCTCTGCACTGAGCATGTGCAGAGCAGGTTTGTGCGCAGTGGCTTGATTTTATTCGTGTGAAAGCCAGATCGGTTCATCCTCGATAACCTGTAATAATCCTTTTTGCAGTCATGTGCTGGCTGCAAAAAAAAAGCCAGTTGCTGTTAATGTTGTATTTAATCTCTTAAAGGCCTCGTTGCATCAAACCTCTTTCCTGTAGGAATCTCGGTCACTTTATTCTCCACTTTCTGGACCAAGCGAACCCTCGTGACAGGCTCCAGTGGTTATGATTACTTTCCTGAAGCTCACCTCCTGTGGCCTCGCTCATCAATACCACACTTGTTATAAGCGTGACAGCGAGAGTTTGTGCCGGAGCTCTGCACCTCACATCCCCGCTTCAGATCCTATTTCGAGCTCATAAACAAGTCAAAATAAATGACCACCATGAAAGGAACACGATCTTGCTCATATGCAATTACATTCCTGCAGGCCCTTAGGCTCAGTGATATGTGGACACAATTAGCGCACTTATTCTCCTCAGTGTGCCGGGACACAACGAACCTGCTGCAGAAAACGAAGGAAGATAAAAAACCTTGTTTTCAATCATTTAAGGTCTGTTTAGGAGCACGTGACACGTCCAGCGTCGCAGCGCAGTTCTGCAGTGCACACAGACTGTAAATAAAAGATGCAACTGCCTCAATGTCACCAGTTGGCTGCCGCCGTCTTAGGCTAGCTAGGGTTAGCACGGTGCAGAGAGCTGCAGTGATGGTTTGGAGACGATGGAAGATATTCAGATGTTTACTGGGAGCATGGACAGGGTTAGAGATCAGTCCGTCAGAGTGACTCTGGGTGGATATACTGGACAGAGGACGATGAAGAAGGAGCTGCCAGGCAGGAGGAAAAGAGGAAGACCTCACAGGAGATTCGTGGGCTGGTGTGACTGAGGAGGACAGTAGGGATGGAGGGACGAGCGATGGCTCTGCTGTGGTGACCCAAAAGAAGACGACCACCCTGTGTGGAGCCATCCGTTGGACCTGATTGGAGCTACTTTTACCTGCAGTGACACTTCAGTCAAAGCAGCCACATCTCCTCATATGGATGAGTTTCAAAAACACACAAAATATTCCTTTACTTCTGTTCTGTTGGGATTAAGGCAGGAAAACCAGGTGGTGCAGATGTAGTCAGCTGTCACTGCACCAGATCTTTGCTCTGTCCTGCCTTATCCACTAATACATGAAACATAGAAGTGACAGATTAAGAAGCAGGGATGGAAACCACTATCTTAGCTTAGTTTAAGATATTAGGATGGTAAAAGTCACCGTCTCCTGTGTCCCGCTGCTTTTGGACGGAGCTCGGCTGGCCGGTTGCTCCTGTCTGCAGTGTTTGTGCTCATTAGCATAAAAATAACTGGAGCTAAGCTGATCTCTGTGCGCCTCCAGCTCCATACTTAACACACAGACAGGAGATCAGTCTTCTAAGCTCGCTCTCGGCAGGAAAGCGAATAAATGCACTTCTCAGAACGTCAAATTATTCCTCAAAAACACACACGGAAAGCAAATAATTATTCTTAGCAGGCTAATTGAAAATACACCCACAGGCAGGTGCTCGGAGACACTGAATTAATGGTCTACTGTTGATAATATAGACACAGTTTCAGTGCAGCGCGGGCTCTTTCTCCCTTAGAGTGGATTAGTCGTGTAACACGAGCTTCCCAAATCGGTCCTGCTCTATAGGAAGGCTTGCTGAGCGCGATCCAGGCCACTCGTGTGTGCAGTGAAGGCGTAAGAGGAGCTTCTTCTCAGAGCCGTACTGTGTTTGGAGCTCCACGGTCTCAGCGGGCTAGTCTGTGGCCTAGTTTCCCTAGCTACCCGGTCTCAAGGGACGAGGCGAGTCACTGCGAGTAGAGAAAAGTGGGAGGCGGGGCGAGAGGGAAGTGGAGAAGACGAGAGGAAGACACAATCTGTGGCAAACACTGAATCCCATTTGTAATGTTTGTGAAACCAGCTGGAAATGCTTATCCTGTGGGAGGGGAGGGGGGGATTACAGCTCGGCTTTTGTCAGAGGGGAAACTGGACCGCTGAGTCGCAAACACGAATCAAACACACACTTTTTTAAAGGGTTTGTGTACTTGCAGCAGAGGAGGTGATGAAAGAGAAAGCAGGCCGGGCACGGCCATGTTTACTTTAAGCTTCTGTTTCCCTACAAGTCCCAGTCCCATAACGTTTCATTTTCCAGAGACTCCTGCGCTGCGCCGAGGCCCAGGCTGGAAGACGCTGTTATTTGGCGCCGTAAAACATCTCTTCAGAGGGCCGTCCACACTCGCATGTTTATTGGCCTATCAAACACAGGCTGATATCTCAGTAAAAAGAGCGCCTTTTTCCAGACTCGCCTCTAACTGGGAAGACGCCGGTTTACGAGGCCGCCTGCTTTTTGTTTGGGAGAGGTTGTTGAGCAGCGGGCGGCGGCTGGTGTCAGCGCGTTTGAGCGGGCGCCGTCATGCCGTGCTGATAGCACCAGGACCTCGGGGTCGTTTTCGTGCGTTTGATGATCGAGGAAAGTTTGCCTCGTGCGGAACGACGACTGCGTTTTTGGTGAAGGCACGTGTGTGAACACCTCCTGGCGATGACGTCATAACTGGAGATGATGAGAGATGGCGTGCGCGTGGACATCATGTGTGGCCTGCACGGTGCTGGCTTTGGTTTTGTTGTTTGGGAAACGGTTGGATCTTATGTGAGCGAGCAGGCGGAGTGATGGAGGGAGATGGAGTTGGCTTGCAGCTCTTTTCATGAGATTAACAGATAGTCAGGGAAACTGGTTAAAACATTATTAGAATTAGATGCTGCTTCTCTCCCAAAGCACAAGGATGATTTACGAGGAATATTTGAGCGCAATCAGCTACAGTACAGCAGCAGTT